TCAGGTTATTCCATTAGCAGTCATGCTCACGAGACTAATTTCCTGCAGAGGGCCTATGCCACTGCAGTAGCCCCATCTCCCCTCTCTTACCCCCCCCACCTCTTCCCAGTACATCCAGTTCTTCTGTAACCCCTTTGACCCCAAATATCCTCAGCTCGCTCTATACCCCCCCCGAGGGCTGGTCAGCCTGTGTCTGGGGACTGGGCAGGGGAGCCCTCCCCCCATCTACGGCGGTTGAGCTCACAGTGCAGGCTTCTCCAATTTAAGTCTCGCTGTACTATACAGCTACTGATTTAATGCTTAGGAAACAACTGTAAAATATCTTTGATATCTGTCAGATTTGTTCTAAATTTGTCACTTGGTTTGTAAAGCAAATGCCTGAATTCTTTGCAGTGGCTGGCCTATGCCTTCTGTCCTTAGGATAGCAGGCTGAAGTAGGTGACTGAGGTAGATGCATGGCCAGGATCGTATGGCAGAGCTGCAGCTGCCGTGTGGTGGCAAGAGGAGGGAGAAGTTGCTCCCTGCACCCGTTCCCCCCAGCCTGCTCCAGCTGAACAGCAACCGCTGGACATGCCTCCCGCTGCTCCTCTCGCTATGCTGGGGGGCAGCAAGGGGACGAGCGGCTCTGACGCTGCCCTTGCTCTGGCTCTCCTAGGTAGTTCTTCTAACCAAGGAAATGAGGTTTTACATTATTATTCCATTTTTATCCTTTTGTTTTTCCCTTCCAAGAAAAGCTATCATAACGGTCAACGTTAATGCAGGTTAGCGTATCATCAAAACGATACAACAGCAACATGCACCTGCAAAAACGGTTGTGTACTGCTAGGCACTGCTACTAAAAATGTATCCATCAACATTACAGTAACTATGTGTGACAACTGGCACACAATATTTATTTTGCTGATCTTTGCCTTATAAAAGCAAACTTCTAGAATTTGGCCTCTATTTTTATTATCAGCTAATCAACATTTTAAACATTTATTTGTTAGTAATCCTGTATTGTTGCTGTTGTTGTTATTATGAACAGTAGTCAATGCTATGAATTTTTGTTACATTTCATTTTAATCAGGACTGCAGAATAATTCTGCGGTTTTAGTTTGGCAGCTGACAAAAATATAATTACACTAAATATGCTAATTCTGATGCCTAGGACACTTATCTTGAGTTACTGTGGGACACTGAGACACCTCCTCCTTTGCTTTATGAGCCAAGTGAAAACTGTTTTTCAGCCAAAATTGCTTTGTAAATTTAACTAAAATTAGCTAATGTTTTAAATTGACCAGCACCACAATTTCTAGCATTTTAGCTGTATATCTTCTCTCTCCTTTACTTCAAGTAACTATAGCCCCAGTGATCTCATTCTGGAATTAGTTTGCATTTATTGTTCATAAAGAATAGCCCCGCCACATGGGAAGGGCAATTAAAAAATACTGTTACGGACCTTTTAGTGCTTATTCTTCAAATCCTAGTCTTTGGAATGCTTACCATTCATATATAACTGTCTTGTAAATTATACCTTTATATAAGAATAAATATATATAGTAACATGCAGAAGATTTACACGTAAGTTAAAAACATGCATGTTCATTATCCGTGTTTTGTCATTGACGGGGGAGGTTGTTTGTAGTCATGCAGGTATCGTAATATGGACACGCAGCATGCAGAACTACGACATTATTTATAAAATAGACAGCAATGTGCACAGACATAAAAGCAAAGATATTCATGCCAGTATTGTGAGATGAAGCCATAAATCTTATTAAACACAGATTTTGTTTTTTGAATTGCACACTGCAAAAAACACACAGAATTTTCATGGAATAATTCTTTTTAAATTATCTGTTTAGTTGTTCCTGTTTGCTTTTGCTGTGCATTCATTTTAAAGCAAGTGTTCTAAATGACTCCTTACCTTCCAAGACAGAAACATGGCTTAGCACCAGCTCTCTCCTCTAAGGACCTCCACTTTAATACTTCTGCAGTGGTATTTCTGTTGTGGTTCCTCATATAAAATGTTAGAGGACAGCAGTGGGTTACTTTGTTCCTGTTTTTTTAAAGAATGGGTTTGATAATTTACTCTAATTTTAGACTTTGACTATTTTTGGCGAGAGTCGGTTGGGCTAGATCAATTGAACCTTGTACCAGCAGCTTCATTCAACAGTCTTCATGAGCACAAATTCTCTGCTGGACTTTCATTTTTTTCTAAAGAACCTCATGCATTTTACTCATTTGTAAATAAAATTATGCACAGGTATGGAGTATTTGTAACATTTAAAGATGCACCAAGCATTAGTTATTGTTAGATTAAAAAAAAAAAAAACATCTTACAAATTTCTCTTCTTCCCATTCATAGTGCTCCTTAGTCTTTTCTTCTGCAGAAGTTCAATGATTCCATAAAATTTGTTTGACATTGTGACAGAAAGTCATGCCAAGACCAAGTATTTATCATATCAAAAAATGTCCGAAAACATTTAACCTGCTTTAAAGTGAAACGTGCTTTTTCTCTTAGTGAAATGAATCTTTTTGAAGCACAAATTTCAGCAAACTCATCAGTATAACTGCAGTTCCCCTCTCGAGCTTAAGGCCAAAGGTTGTGTTACCAGAATGGCCTCATGCACATCACAGGTCACCAGAGCACACCTACATACTATTCACTGAGTCAACAGTAGGCCAGCCTCAGTGCGGCAAGCATGGGGACGGGGGTGTCCTCGGGGAACTCAACTTTGTGTCCATAAACTGTACAATGTGTGGCTGATACCAGTCTCAAAAAGACACTAATTAACTTCATTCATTAAAACCATGTACAGGTTTGTATTTTTTGTCAGTTTATGCTCTGTCATACTCCCGACAAGACCAAGGTTTAACCTGAGAACTCATTGTCCGTCAGGGCGTGATCCACTTCTAACAAGAGAAATGAACGTGCTGCAGAGCACTACCCACAGTGGCAGGGAGCTGTTTGGGGGAGACATGCCCTTCCCTTTCACCTGTGGCTTCCAGCTGAGCTGTGCTCCAGGCTGGTGAAATACAGAAAATGACAGTGTTCTTGCCAAGCCAATTGTTGCCTAAATTCTGATGCTTCCATGACCAGCCACCTAGCAGCAAGAGACAGCAGCCAGATCTTGAGGGCATTCTCTGCTCTGCACCACCTGCACCAAATCCACGGTCATTCATAGGAAGGTCAAAACCACAATCGACATTCACAAAGCCCAGTGATGCAGCCGTCCACAAGGAAGAAATAAAGTCCTCCTGATCTCTGCAGGCAAACAGCCGAAGCCACGCTTGATTGTACTTGCAGTGTCTTACACACTGCTATCTTTAGAGCTTATTTGGTAGCTTTATCTCCAGGTGGTTCAGATGACTTTGTTTTCTTTACTGCTTGCTATCCTCTTTATGGGCTTTTTAATACATTTTATGGTCAAAGATTGTGTTGTCCCTTGATTGCTAATATGAAATCAGTTTGGCATGGCAAAAGTTTTCCGGCCACTAATCTGAAAATGTTTAATTTGACTATATGGTCTTTTTATGTCTTCCCTTATTAGAGGAACTTCCTGTTCTGCCAGCAGCTCAGTAGGACATAGATGTGTCCTAGTTTGATCCAAATACGGATATTTCTCCTTTTTCCATGTTATACTTCAGCATGTTAGCAGGAGTACAGGCTAGGTTTTTCTTGGTGCTTGGACAATTCTAAAATGCTGGCTTACATCTAATTCTATTGGCCACTGGGAGTTCATAGGTTTCTCTCTTTCTAACTTATTAACAGATTGAGTTGTGTTTTATAGCTTACCATCTACCTTTTTGCCCTTTTTGTCTGTTTTGTGTTTTCTACATTTTCTTTTTCAGGATGGCTTCTCAGCCACTATGAAATTTTGTATGTTTGTGGAATGATGGCTTTTTCGGCATTCACTGGGAAATTTTCAGAGTTCCTAATTTTGTTAAAACTGCCATTAACAGTTTAATGTCATTTCATAATTAATTATTACAACAATCTCATTAAGGAATTACTTTCACTGTGACTGACTCTTTGTCATAGTTATGAAGGGAGAGTTCTCATGAGGCCCATGTTCCTCTGCTGCTGTGTAAATTCCTCTTGCCTGTCCATCACGGGTGACATTCAGGAAATGAATTGATCGTTCGTTCTTGATAAAAAGGGTTGTGATAAAAAATGTTTCATGGTGGGAAACAGTGTCCTCTGCAGACCCCACCAAGAACATTTTTACATATGATGTGTGTTAGCCTCGGGAAGGAACATCCACCAAGAACTTTTTTACGTATGATGTGTGTTAGCCTCGGGAAGGAACAAACTAATTCTAGTCACAAGTCAACTGATATGTTTATGTTTGCCCTATTCTGAAGTTATATCTGTTTTACAAATGTCTAGGAAGTTGCCTACAAGTTGACTAGGAAGGTGAATTGGTTACGAAAAATCTCACAAGTTTTGCATAAATTCAGTTGTAAAATAGATTTTGAAGCTTAAAGATATAACTTAATAAATATAATCACAGGTATTTGTGTATATTGAACATGATCCTGACATAAGTTCTTGATGTGATTAAGATTTAGTACCACGGCACATCCTTACTGTGTTAAACCTCAGTGAATGCTTGAGTACTTATTCAGCCGGGTTCTTATACCCAATCCACAGTATTACAGAAAGTTCTTCAGCAAAGTTATCTGTGTAAATGGTAGCAGGACAGGGGCCATTTTTTAGCAATGTCTGATTTTATTGTAGTTTGAATAAAAATTTAGGTAACGCTTTCAGAGGTGCTTGGGACAAAAACACATAACCATAGAACTAATTAAAGACAACTTCATATCTTAGCTCCTCTTATCAACTTTATGTGGAATATTTTGTGTTTATGTTTTATCCTGGCTAATTCACTTCCTACAGCATTAAATGTAAAACTTTGGCATATTTACTCAGAGCATTTGAAATTATGTAGAAGAATACAAAAAATATGTTTCAAAAACCAGCATATCCTCATTTTCACAGTTGAGTAGGTAATAGTTTATTTTCAGTACAATGGGAGATCATATTTTTTTGACAGAATTCTAAATTTGTAACAGCTACACTTACAGTGATTTTTAAAAGGCCTTACTTCAGTTGCAATTATCGTAACCAAATTTCAAACTTATTTTATGATCACAAGTCTCTTCAGTACAGCAAGGAACGGTAATATATTTCTCCTAGACAGTGTTCTAGCTCGTCCAGCTTAACTGGAATCCTGATGGTAAAGTCACATATTCAGCATGAAATTTTATATAGACTTGATGAGATGTAGCAGTAAATGGAGAGATGTTTGTATCCTAAAAGTAAAGACAAGAAAAATGAAAAGCTTTATAGAACACCAAGATCCTTTGGAAAAGCCAGTCAGAGAGTTAAAACTGAGGCACAGATTGGATCACAATTTGGAAGGGACCTCAGGTCTGTGCTAGATACTGCTTTTGCAGTATCAGGGTATTACAAACGTTTAAATCACAAATACAACTAAATACAGAGCAAAATAGCTTGACGATGCCTCCCACTAGATGTCACTGTAAGGTCTGCATCAGAAGGCTTCTAAGGTGCCACCAGCCTTATGCCTTCACTTCTGCTCATCTGTATGGAACTCGTGCCAGAATTGGGGAAACAATCCTAACCACAAAACAGTAAAGATACATTTTAACCGCTTACAGGGTCACAGACAGTAGGGAATACATACCATCCCACAGTATGGCCCGGCTGGGGGATAGCTGGCATCTGGGCCGTTGTAAAGGATCAGATAGTTGCTACTGCAATCCCCTGGGTCATCGATGCTGATGAAATCAAAGTTCACTGTGACAATTCGTCCCTTGGGCACAGTAATGGCCCACTCGCAGTCAGTGTTGTTGAGGTAAGTTGCAGGGTAGCTGGGACTAGCAAATGAGCCAGCACTGCCGTATAATGTTCCTCCGCATCCTGGAAACAAACATTGTTAATTAGCTTAGAAGGCTTAGCTTCACAAGATACTACATGATGTAGTACATTAGCACAGTATTAGTAGTAGCACTGAAAGAGAGAGACGCTGGGAGCTGGAACAATGAATGTGGATAAGAGCATCATTCCAATAAGAGACAAAACTGAGGCTCCAGCTTCAGCAGCCTGAGAAGAATATGCAGTGGGCATTAGACTATCGCTGGATATTACAAATCAAAACTCTTTGAAACAGGAACCAAAGTCTTAAGTCAGTGCCTTGGTCATTTCAGTTCCCAACTACTCAACTAGAGACAAATTCTCTTTGGCTGTTCTTTGGAATGAAAAGTAGTGAATCCTCATCTGATTGATAGAAAAATACAGAGAACAACTCAGAGAAAGTAGTCATATTAAGTAAACTAAAAGCCATTTATACCAAAATTCAATCTCCAACAGTGGGCAGAAGCAGATGCCCTGGGAGAAATGCAAGTTTATAGAATAAGAGTAAGCATGTGCAGATCATGCCCCAGATTACTCTCACAGTCTCCAAAAATTTTCAGCTCACAGCTCCCAGAGATGGCATCTTTGTATTTAACAGTCTTTATCAGATGTCTTCCATGAACTTGTTCAGGTAGCCCTCGAATCCATGTACATTTGTAGCATCTGATGGGAAGGAGCTCCACAGCTTAACTGCATACTGTGTGAAGAACTGTTCTGTTTGGTTTGTTCTGAACCTACCACCTCCTGGCTTTATCTGATGGCCTCTAGTTCTTCTATGGGAAAAGTCAATGAACAGTTGATCGCTATTTATCATCCAATATCACTAAATTTTATAGACCTCAGTAGTTTCTTAACCAGATTAAAAAGTCTCAGCACACCTCATACAGAAGCCATTTTTTGTGTTGAGCCCTTAGTTATGCTAGATTCTTTATAAGAGGAGGAGACCAAAACTGGGCACATCATTCAATTTGTGTGTGAACTGTGGATTTACACAGTGGCTGTCTGTTTGTTCTCCCTTCCTTTCCCAACAATTCCTAGCATTGTGCTAGCCTACTTGACTATTAGTGAGCAGTGAGCTCTTGTTTTCATGGAACTATTTTACCCCCAAGATCTTGTTGCTGAGTACTAAAAGTCAACTCAGAGCCCATATTTTTGTAAGTAAAGTTAGGATTGTCTGTTTTTTGCCCACGTTCTTCATCAACACTTCCCTACTTTATCTGCCTTTTCGTCACCAAGGCACTCCATACTGTAAGGTTGTTCTGCAGTGCTTTTCAGCTGGCCATGAGCTTTCCTACCTCCAGTAATTTAGTGTCATGAACAAACTATTACCAGCTGTTCGCTGCCATTTCATAAGCCATTTATGAATGTGGATATGATGTAGTCACTACACAGCATTATAGTTAGGTTATTTTCTTGGGGCAAATTTCAGTTCTCTTCAGGCTTAGCAGTGCCTAGATCCTAGGGCATATCACAACTGCACTATTAATGGAGTAGGCTGAGTCACCACCACCACCACCTGTGGATCCCAAGATAGACCTGATACCTTCTGACCTCTCAGTGAAAGAGGTAGATCTTCATCTTAAGTGGACTACATCCTCTGAGGTTGCTAAAGTCAACATTAGAGAGAGGGAGTTGCTTCCATCACATAAAATGGATCTCACCCCACTGGTCTTTAGGAACAACTACCTCTCTCCAGTGACTGAATAGGGTGGACTCTGGGTGCTTGGGAAGATCTTCAGTGTTGCTGAGGCAGGGCCCAAACTGAGCAGGCTAAATTCCACATTTTTGTATTTTCCCTCTATTTAGAATTGCTAAGTGGAATGACTTTTAATTACAGTCTTACCACTTGATGATGAAGTCCAAGTAATTTCATATCCATCATGAGCCCCTGAAAAATCACTCTTGAAACGAAGGTAGACAACATGATTTTTGGGGAAGATGGGACTGGGCACAGTGTTTCCACAGAACCTGCCAAGTAGTGGTGATTGCACATCACTCCCATTTCTGACCTTCAAGGGACACAAAAAAACATTGTCAACATTAAATCCCTATGCCAGTTACACACCAGTACAATTATGCAATGATATAAGCACAAACCATGTAGTGATTTGCATGCATACCATAATTGTCTTTTTAATAGTTATTTTTTCCTACTATATATTCCTCTATAGAAGGAAAAAGAGACCATTAACCAGTCTGTCTGAATTTTGTAAGTAATTGCACAGAACAAGTATCATCAGAAACAGGTAGCTAAATTTTATGGTTTGGTACATCTCCTGACTGAAAAAATTACTTGACTAGTAGCTAAGATGCACTTTTGCAATTCAAGCCCATGTTTTACTTTTCATAAGAAATGTTAATATTCCAGATGAAAAGATTAATACTTTACCCTGCAGACCACTCTTTTCCCTGGTCACATTAAGACACAGATCATATTACATAGCTCAGATTTAATCTGATTTTTTTCTCAGCTCCAATAATGCTGGTGCACAGATCCATTTCTTGAGACAGTAAAGAGGATATGAAAGGAGAACTAAATAATGATTTTGCCACAGACATCTGATTTTTGTCATCTGACCAGTGAATAGGGAAACATTCAACAAGCGTGAAAGGACAGAGTGAAGATTGTGTAGGAGGATATGCTTTTTATTGACACAGGGTACCTTTGCAAGTATCCTACACTTGTTACTAGAGCGCCTTTTTTTTTTTTAAAGAAAAAATGCTTTTTTAGAAAAAACCATTTTTTTACGAAAAATATCAAGCAGATGGCATCTACTGCTGGAATGAAAGCACTCAGATTTATGGCTTTCTGTTCATGCACAGATGTTAATATCGGATGAAAACTATCCCGGCTTGCTCTGTTAACTGGGTAACATCAACAAGAGCTAGGTAAAGATGAGTTAGCTGATAATGAAACTATTTATTCATTGGTTTTGGACTTACTATAGTCTGTATTATTTAACCTCTTACTATACATCTGAGTACCTTTCACCATAAAACTGTAGCAATAAATTAGTCAGTTCAGCTCAGACTTCGTCCAAGCTTATTAATATCCTTTGAATTCAGCAGATTTTGACACAGGTCCACAAAATGTGTATACTTGCTTGATACCTCTAGGAAATCACGTGAACATTGGATGCTGTCTTCCAAACTGAAAGCATGGAAAAAGAGAGAAATTGTGTGATTCAGGGGAGCTCGTAGAATGATAGAACAGTCCATATTATTGGGGTGACGACCAGGCCAGCCAGGGCTCTTCAGGTAACCAAATGACTGGTTATATTCTCTGCTGCAACCTTGAGACAGAAAACCAGAAACATGTAAGCATTTCAGATCTCTGTATTGCATTTCACTGTATGGAATAAACAAAGAGAACAGTAGGTATTTTTTTTAGACATTTCTTCAAGCTTACCTGTAGCTTGATAGGTAAATCTGACTCCATTGTTAGTCATATATTCATCTGATTTGAAAGTCACGATGGCCGTGCGATCGTAAGAATAAAATTCAGGGACTAGAAAAGTTTCAGTGCCACAGAATCTATGGACTGATCCTTGGCTGTGCTGGAATTCAATACATGTTGAAAGTTACTTAATGATATAATTCAGTTTTCTACTTACTGAACTTGAGGTGAATAAATCTCTCAACGCTTTCTATACCAGTTATGCAAACACATTTTAAACTTCTTGTGGAAATCACTTCATAATGTCTCAACATTTTATGTTCAATTATTATGAGAAACAAATCAAATGTAACAGGTATTTTCATGCTAAAATAAGAAACAATGAAGAAGGTTTAGAATAATATAATACAAGGGATATAAACAGTTTTTTTCCTGGTGCTTTTTACAAACACTCTTCTTGGCATGAATATTGATTTTTATTATGGTTCTTGGATGGGAGGAAGTACAATTAGTTAATGAAAACTTGCTGTTGGGCAGTATTTTCTGGATGTTACGTTTGGCAGCTCTGTTACCTGGTGCAACTGTGAAAAATTGTGTAACACTTACCAGGTCTAATTCAATGTGTGCTTCCATGAAGTCTGTGTACCAATTAACACACCTTAAGTGCTTTGGATGAGCCCCTCACACAGAATCATCAATTAATCTATTGCCAAATGATGGGTTTCCCCTCTCTTTACAAAGAGTGAAAGGAGCTGAATGTGAATGGGGGATGGTACCAACTGTAAATTTCTTACTGTTGGCGAGTCCTGGAACTCCAGGTAGTTCTGAGAGCAGTCCTGGCTGGAATGAAGGTGGAAGGCATCTACCACCACCCTGACTTGCTGCTGCGGAGGGGCATCAATGACCCAAGTACAGAGAGTAAACGGTGGATATTCATTTGGGAAGTTAGGAGATGTTGCAGTCAGGGATGCAGAAGTTGCATTATAAATTCCTCCACACAGTCCTGTGTAAAACAGTAATAAATGCATCAGAGTGAAAACCTTTCCAACTGGGGAAAAATATTTATTGAGCAAAACTATACTGGACAATATACTTTTGTATTTACCTGTGACTCTCTAGAAGAAAAAAAAATTGAGTAAAACACATGCTTATGCTGTGTCAATGTATGTCATAAAACTCAAATAGATGTTTGTTCCCTATAGTATCAGCGTATTTGTTAACAGTGTGCGTTACTGGTTTGCACTCCAGACTGACAGCCACCCAGCAACCAGTCAAGGCCGAAGAGAATTGCACTGGGCTCTAGCAGTGCTGCTTTTAGCTTCCTTGTAGATGCTGTGCTAAGGACTGTCTTTGCCCGTTCCTGAGCCCTATATCTAGAACAAATTTGGATGATTTATTATTCAAATATGCATTTCCACAAAAGAGTCACGACAAAATATATGCATACATATATACATATACTTACGATCCACTGTGGTGTAGGTAGCATTGAAACCCTCCCTTTCCACAGAATTGTCTGTGATAAATGCCACAGTTAAGGAATTGTGGGTAGAAAGAAAAGGAGCTGGCGTTGTAGATCCACAGAATGTGCCAACTAAAATGGCATTTTCATTATATCCATCATAAAGCTGAAATAAGAAAACTATATAAGCCACTAACAGTTTAGGCACAATAAACAAATAAATAGAAATAAAATTCTCTGACCTCTCCTGACATTATAATTTCTTTTACTTGAAAGTACAGTAGGTGCTCTTGTGCTTTAACAGGATGTTCTTGATGACTATTATTATTCACTGCCATATTAACTAATTCTGTTGGACAGTGTAAATCTCATTATGGAACATTCTGGTCCCGTCTCAGCAAATCTATCAAAAATTTATTCTATTTTAATTTGGCATTCTGATTTCTTTTTTATATATAATCTCAAAGCGCTTTTCAATGACAAAGATTGATTTTATTCACCAAAATGTAGACATTCCTACTTTCATTGAGCATCTCTACTGCTCAACAGGATCTATAACACTCCTTCGTGGATCTTGCTTAGCAGCATTCTGCTATCCTACGCTCATCTCCAAGAAAATAGCTTTCACAGGTAAGCATTGAGCGTCAAGACTTATTTATTCAAAATTTTATAAACTAAAGTCCTTTCAAACAGTCGTGTGTGATAATGAATCTGCAAGTTTACTTTCAAAGTGCTTGAGTTTTGTTTTGTTTCTATTCTGTGAAATAAATACTCATTTATATAGGCAGTCTAAGACCAGAAGCATGTCCCCATAACAATGTTAAAACTCTTACTGGTTTCCAAAAAGGCAGAATGTCATCTGGAGTAGTGATCTAACCCAACAAAAAAATTGTAATTATATTAAGCAATTTAATTTCTTCATAAGACCATTTTCTATTAATTAAGTTTTAGCCTCATGAAGAGGATAATGGATTGTATCTCACTGATATTTTCTTGTTAAAATACGCAGTTATCTTACTTTGACATAATCATATCGGCAAGCCTGAGAAGACTGTGCTTCAAGCACAAATGAGGTGAAGGTGAGGTTGATCAGTTTGTTCACAGGTGCAGTTATGATCCATACACAGTCCAGATTTTTCTCATATCTTCTGGTCACATTGGAGACTGGAGAGCCAAAGCTGTAAGCTGAATTTGTCAAGTAACCACCGCAGCCATTCTGAGGTCCTGTTGAAGAAGCAGAAGTTTTCTAAAATCAATTTCTGGCATTTATTTAATCTTCATATCTTTAATGTCAAGCCAGCAGCTTTTTCTGTGCTACAGAATTTTATTGTCCTGTCTTACAAGGACTATCTGAATAATTAAAAGGCTTTCAACATAAACAGCGTTAGACAGATACGAATCACAATTAGATTTGGTAGAGTGAATTAAGAAAGGCTCATGTCTTCTGTTGCATATAAAATCAGAATCCACTTTGAAAATGTAGCAACAGGTTTTTTAAAAGGGACTGTAAGAAGACAGAGGACAAATTAAATAGAAGAATAGTGGTTAGAAGGCCTTTTAATGTAATTCTTACCTGCTAGTAAGAGTACTTGGACAGTAGGGGGCACTGGGTTGTTGACTTTGAAAATCTAGTTAAAAATTAAGTTGCTTATTTTGGCAATACGACCTATTTGTGGGACGATTGAATTTGGCAGCCTGACACTGGGACCCAGACTCATACTCAGGAATCTAGCTAAAAGGGACTTACTTCTGGAAGTGTTTTGTGTGGTGGGAACTTACAACCCTTCTGAAAAGCAGGCTGCTTTTCATTTGGATCCCACATCCAGAGCTAAGTCCCTTACTGTAGTTACTCGCTGTGAAAATTTGAACCCTATAATGTTTTCAGTCACATTGAGAGAAATTACTTTTGGAGAAAAGCAGTTATTAGAAGATCAGAACCCTTTTATTGTGTCTAATTACAAACAAGAAAAAAATACAGACTATCTGAAAGGATTTTTTTTTTTTTTTACTTTTTTTTATGGTTTGATTTCCAGAGGTTGGACTGGGCTAGTAAATCTGATCAATTTGTTTACTTTATGCTTCCTTCCCCAGTCTCTATGGGGTTTCCTGGCCACTTATGTAATTCAGGAATTCAAATATAGTATAGTCCATACTCTTGCTTTTGAGTCTGAGAGAGTTTTTGTAAACTGCACAGAGCAAAGTGGTAACTGCAAGCAGCCTGCTGTCTCCCACAGGGAATCCTTTTAGGAGAATTAGATAATAAAAGAAGCTACAGCTGTGGCTAAGCAACATGAGCAGAGTTTCAGAATTTCATCTGCGTGTGTAAAATATGCCTGTCTGGCTGCCACGCAGTGACCTAACCTTGACACACTGATAGATTTCCAGTCATATAAAACTGCGCCCTACTTGAGCTACAGTATTACAAAAGATCACTCTGGTGAAAAATCAGCATCCAACTATCAGGATTGCGTCAGTAATCCGGGGTTGGAGACAGCCCTGTCTCGCAAGACTGTAATAGTTAAACCAGAGTGACTAAGGCTAAATGTCACCCTGCTCTACTAACCAAAGCCGGAAAAACCCCACCCTAAAAAGAAGTTTGCTTAAAACCAAAATCTTAATAACATGAGATTTAAGCTTTTGCTATAGCTAAAAGTGAACAGAAGAAACTTATTACAAAGTGAAGAAGTCAGGAATTAATAGACTCTAGTCCAGTTTTGTGGGCTGTTAATGAAGTCAGAAACTTGGAAAAGTGTTAGCGTTCATTCCAATGCCACTGCAGAAGCCGAGAACAACAGTGGGGAAAATGCGAGCAATAAATCACATTCTTACAAATAGTCTAGGAAGGAGGAAAATGTCAGACAGGAGGGTACCTGGGCCCTAAAAAGGCAATTTCACTATATTTTTCTCTGGGTTCACCCTTCAGCATGATTTAATCAGTCCCCCTGAAACAACTCGTTGGAGCCACTTCTGCTCAGCATTTTGGACACCGTCTACTAAACATAACATTAAGCATGTAATCATTAGGCATAGATCATAGTCTGACCATCCAGTCCTGCAATATTGAGTCTGTAGCGATATATGGGTCAGACACCTTACAAAGCTCCCCTTTACCCTTTTCAGGGTTAGAGTTGCAGAGATGCCAGTCAGACCATTACACCAGGAATCAGTGAATTGCCACAGAGCCACGCAACAGGAAAGCTCTCAGTGCTGCTGGATTGTCCTTTTTTTGGATATCAGATGTCTCGACTTCTGGAATGGTGCACTTCACTGCTAGCTGTGCAGCTATAAAGACAGCTCAGATGACAAAAAATACCGATGTGGGTAACCTGTGTGTGTACAGCACATAAAATGGACCCGACAGAGAGAGAAACAGGCCAAATCCTCATTATCAGAAAATTAATTCTAGCTAGTATAGCCAGTAATAGCATCTAAGGGGAGATAAATAACTAGAAGTATGATTTACAGTTAATAAAGATGAGGTTTCATCATTGGTTTTCACAATGCTTAGCCTGCTCAGTCAAATGCTTACAGGACAGTACGTTATAAATAATGGCTAGACTGGAAGCCAACCAGATATCAAGTAGCTCTGCATCAAGCCAAATAAAGAGCAGCCCTTGTTGAAAAATCTATCTTTGTGTTTTTCAGTACTAATCAACGCTACATCTGATTGCAGCCACTAAAAGTTACAGAATAGTGAAGCTGTGTAGATCTAGAGAACGCCTACGAGTAAATGAGGAACCAACTGCTTAACAGGAGGAAACTCATGCTAAGAGAAACACTATTGCACTGCATTTTAGCCAGGACACAACTCATAGTTTTAAAAATCAGCACCACTTCTGAATAGAAGGCCAAATAGTAGCCATCCAGACTGCTGGTGATCATTAATGGAATGATGTTTATCGTTGGCTAATACAGCCAGAAAAAAATTGTAGCTAAAATGTAGGCAAAATGTGGGAAAACTAAGTGTCTTAGTGGCAAAACCAAGAAGTCTGTTAATTTGTAGAATAGCCTCATAGATATTAAAAGCTAAACTTGATAAAAATAATGAGAAATGTGCCTTATAGAACAATTTGTGTGGGCAGATGGATTGACTACATGGCTTACTGTGTTGTTTCAGTCTCTGGTTTCTTACTTAAAATAAAAATCATAAGGTCATCATAAATCAGATTGCAATCTTGTCCTCATAAACAGCTTGCCAGAGAACACAAATTATGAGAAGAACTAGGGCACACATGTCATCACTAATTGGTTTTGGTGGGAAGCATTAATGAAACTAAAAGGCTGAAGGACCATTCAGAAAAGAAGGAATTGAAGGTTCCCTACGGCAAATAAAAATAATTACAGCAGAGAGCAAGCACATGTTTCTCTGTTAAGAGTTACATCCTCTAGGTATGGAACGAAGATGAAGATGAATCTTTGAAGCTGCCTGCCTTTGAAGCACCACCAGGGGTAAGGTTCATTTAAACAGGTATGGATGCTATGAAAGGAACCCTACTGAATAGTTTTAAACCTATCAGAAACAGCTAAATCAATGACATTTCGAAACACAACAAACTAATTTTGCTGCCCTTCCCTTCTCACTAAATGAGCATCACAAACACCTACTAGAAGGCAGCAAAGTTCAAAGAATTGTTCTAGTTCTGCTTGAACAATAATGAAAATCCTCTCCCAGATTTCTGAATCGCATTTGATCTCACCTAGAAGCATCCCTGGGAACTCTAGGCTTCTCTCTGATCTGAACTAAAAATCAGAATAAGCAAAGATTAAGTCTGCCAAGACTAACGCTTCTTTCCTGATGGGTCTTTTTTCCAGTGCAGAGGAGTGGCTGGACTAATTGTGGCCGTAATAATTATCTCATAGCTTGTTTGGATCATAGCTTCAAACAGGAAGGCTCAGAAGGACATAGAGCTGGAGAGAGGAATCGTACTGTCGTATTTGTCTCATGGCTGATACTGAAGGTTGGTAAACCTTCACAAGTTGAGCTGTAGAAGTCAGTTCCCATGTTGGGCAATCACTGTACAGACACTGTGACTTCGCATGGCCGCAGGACCCTTGCAGCAGTGCCTACCCCGACCATAGTGCCTGCAACGTTTCAGGAGGAGACTTCCTGACTCTTTAGTCCTCAGCCTAGTCTTGACACAGAAAGGGTTTTTGACTCGTTTGATGTCCTGGCAATGGTTCCAGCAGTGACATTTAGGACTGTAAAGCCCCAGTCTCCTGCTTTAGCAGGATTTCACAAATGCTGTCAGACGACATTCATATTCTTAAGTTTTTAGACTACTGGCTGATCCCAAATATAACAGTCCAGACATGCTCTGTGCCAAGCCTGCCCTAGTTCTGCAAAACTGTGATGTATGTACCATCCAATCCATCTCCTCAATGCTTGTCTGAGAGACCAGAGGCAGACATGCAGTCTGGCCTCATTCTAATACTTTCTAATACTGCATTAGCATGCTTGTTGGCATCACAGCCGCCCAGGCCTTTGCAGATCTCTCTCGCGATGTGAATAAGAAATGTCTCCTCACCCTTTGTTTGTGTGCACCAGAGTACAGATTTTCAGCTGAAGCAGGCATTGACTTTAGTGAAGCTAAGACAATTCATGCCAGCAAAGTTTGCCGACAGTTGTGCGAAGTGCCTTTAATCTGAATATCCCATCGGCTTTTAACTGTTTAGTCACCTACAAAGTTATGTTTAATCACTGTTTCCGAAAATTATTTTTCACCTAATTTTTTCAGATTAGTCAGAAATTTCTTATTTAAAAGTCTACCTCTTTTCTTGACTGTCCAGTTTGAGTATGCAAACCACTTCTATTTATTTTGCTTTGGGAGAAGAAATGTCACAGACATTAAATAACTGACATTTCTGAGAGGCATTTGTAGACTATCCCTTAACTTAACAGTTGTATTCTTTTCAGAGATATTGAAGCGATGTATTTCAAAACTGCAAGTGCTTTCTAAATTTAGTCAGATTTCAAGCTGATGCATATTTTTATATTTGAGCCCCAAAATACAGTTAGAAACAGTCCAGGAGTTGTGACTTATGAACGTATATTCTGAGCTTGTTATGGATGTTCTGATTTTCAGAGACTATAATAAGATCAAGAAAAGATATTATTAGCCATGATTTATTCATTATTTTAACAGATTAAGCTAATCATAGTTAAGCCATGACAATGTAATGACTCTGAAATGTGTAATATTAATGTGTTATATATTTGGTAAAAA